CTGGTGGAGGAGCCAGACATTGATCAAGTGATCACATGAAAAAGCATAAAATGATCACTGGGTTGCTCTGAAGGAGATACAAAGGGGTGAGAGTCTCTATCAGGGAGTTTGACATAGTCTCGGGAATCCAGGAGAGCAATCCCGAGGAAGTGAGCCGAGACTTGAGTATGTGTAAGACTTAAGTAGAAGAGGAGCATTTGGGCTAAAGGGACAGCATGTGTGAAGGTTCTGTGGCAAAATGAAAAATGGCAGGGCCTCTAATGATCAGTGCCTTCGACTCCCCCACCCAGCACATCTAATCCATCAGCAAATTCTCTTGGTCTACATTCAAAATATACCCAGAACCGGAGCACTTCCCACCTCTTGATCCTTATTGTAGCCTCCTAATTCCTGTCCCTACATCTGCCCTCGCCCCCAACCCCATGGTCTCTTTTCAACACATTGGCCAAAGTAACCCTGTTAAGACATAGGTCAGACCACGCCCACCTCAGCATAAAAATAGGGCCTGGTGTAATCTGGTCCCTCTGCCAATCTGGTCCCTCCCGTCTTTCATTATCAAGGATGCATCAAACTCACAGACTTTTCTGCTGGCTGTTCCTCTGCTGGAATGTTCTTCCCAAGGTACTTACATTTAGTTCCAGGATTTTTGTTGTTGTTGTTGATTCTTTGGGATTTTCTACATAGACAATTAGGTTGTCTGAGAACAAGACAGTTTTATTTCTTCCTTTCCAACCTGTAATGGTTTCTTTTCCTCTCCCACTCCAGACATGTAGACAGGTGTCTATTCAAAGGGCATTTTCTCAGGGATACCTTCCCTGCCCACCCTACCTAATACGGCATTCCCTTCCCCTGCTTCCATCCCCTGAACTCCCTCTCCCCTGCCGTTTATTTTTCTCCATCACGTTTTTCACCGTCTGATACACACAACATTTTACTTATTTATCATCTATGTTCTCCAACTAGTATGTAAGCTACCTGAGAGAGCACATTTTAATCTATTTTGTTCATTGTCGTATTGCAAACCTGCAACAGTATTTGGCACACAGTAGGTGCTCAGTAAATATTTCTGGAAAAGTGAATGAATTTGGCCTTTCTTAGTCCACCCATCTTTGGTAACCAGCTGTATCTGTGAACATGCTATTTATAAGTAATTGTAACAAGTGCTTAGACAAGCATTATCTTTTAAAATCCATCTTAATAACATTTGTGTCTTCTACATGTGGTGCTCTGCGACATGACCAGTGTCTTGTTACTTGCTCTGGACTTTAGTAGAAGTGGAGGTGCAGAGAGTTTCAAAAGTTAAAGCTGAGCAGAACTTCTGGCATGTAAAGAGTTAAGAAGCTGTCAATCCTATCCTCACAATAAGAAAAAAAATCTAAACTAAAAATGAACAACTGGAAATTAATGGAACTCAGAATCATTAGACAATTGAGGTCACAGGGCAAACTGCTCCCTGAAAACTGGAGAGTCAGGTGAATAAAGAGAATCACAGTTTACTGGGAGCAGAAGCCTACAACTAGAGTCAGTATCAGTAGACACACTAACCTGTAATTGGATTGTTGAGGGCTCGGTGTGGACTAGCTTGCAGTTTTAAAACTCCATGGAGTCTAGTCCTTTGGGGGCCCTCATACTTTTATGATTTTTACCCCCAGGAACCCTACCAGATTCTGAGTGTGAAAATCAGAGGAAAATCTGCTCCGCTTCTGGCAGTGGGAGAGGAAAAGCAACCATTATAGACTGGAAAGAAAAAAAATAAAACTGTCTTGTTCTCAGATGACATGACTGTTTACGTAGAAGATCCCAAAGAATCAACAAAAAAAGAACCCCCCCCAAAAAAATCCTGGAACTAAAAAACAACTATAGCAAGGTTGCAGGACACAAGGTTAATAAACAACAGTCAATTGTTTTCCTACATACCAGCAAAGAGCAACTAGAAATTGAAATTTAAATGTAACACCATTTATGTTCACATAAAAAATGGAAATATTTTAGTATACATCTAACAAGATACATAAAAGATCTGTATGAGGAAAACTATGAAACTCAGATGAAATAAATCAAAGAAGAACTAAATAAATATTCCATGTTCATGGATAGGAAGACTTCACTACTGTTAAGATGTCAGTTCTTCCAAACAAACAAACAAACAAACAAAGTTGTCCATTCTTCCCAACTTGATCTATAGTTTCAACACAATCAACACAATCCCAATCAAAATCCCAGCAAGTTACTTTGTGGATACTAACAAACTGATTCTAAAGTTTATATGAAAAGGCACAAGACCTAGAATAGCCAACACAATTTTGAAGGAGAAGAACAAAATTGGAGGACTGACGCTACCCAACTTTAAGGTTTCCTATAAAGCTATAGAAATTGAAACAGTGTGGTATTGGGGAAAGAACAGACAAATAGATCAATGGAACAGAACTGAGAGAACCCAGAAATAGACCCACACAAATAGAGTCAACTGATCTTTGAAAAGAAGCAAAGGCAATTCAATAGTCTTTTTGACAAATGGTGCTGGAACAACTGGACATCACATAACAAAATGAATCTAGACACAGACCTTACACCTTTCACAAAATTAACTCAAAATGGGTCATAGATCTAAATGTAAAATGAAAAATTATAAAACTACTTGAAGATAATATAGGAAAAAAATCTAGATGGTCTTGGGTTTGGCAATGAGTTTTAAGATACAATACCAAAAGCATGATCCATGAAAGAAAAATTTGGTAAGTTGGACTTCATTAAAATTAAAAACTTCTGGGGTGCCTGGGTGGCTCAGTCTGTTAAGCAACTGCCTTTGGCTGGGGTCATGATCCCAGGGTCCTGGAATCAAGCCCTGCATCAGGCTCCCTGCTCTGCGGGGGGCCTGCTTCTCCCTCCCCCACTCCCCCTGCTTGTGTTCCCTCTCTAGCTGTCTCTCTCTCTCTCTGTCAAATAAATAAATAAAATCTTAAAAAAAATAAAAACTTCTGCTCTTCAAAAGCCACTGTTAAGAGAATGAAAAGACCAGCCACAGTCTGGCAGAACACATATCCGTTAAAGGACTGCATGCAAAATATAGAAAATAACTCTTAAAACTTAATATGAAAACAACCCAATTAAAAAGTGAGCAAAAGATCTGAATACACATCTCACCAAAGAAGATATATTGATGGCAAATAAGCATATGAAAAGATGTTCAACATCATATGTTGTTAGGAATTGCAAATTTAAACAACAATGAGATACCATTACACACCTACTAGAATGGCTAAAATCCAAAATACTGACAACACCAAATGTTAGCAAGGGTTTGAAGCAACAGGAGATTTTATTCATTGCTGGTGGGAATCCAAAATGGTACAGCCACTTTGGAAGACAGTCTGGCAGTTTCTTGCAAAGCTAACCATAGTCTTACCAAATGATCCAACAATCATATTTACCCAAATGTGTTGAAAAGTTATGTCTACACAAAAACCGGTAAGCGAATATTTATAGCAGCTTTATGCATAATTACCTAAAATGAGAAGCAACCAAGATATCCTTCAATATGTGAGAAGATAAACAAACTGGTACAACTATACAAGGGAATATTGTTTAGTGAGGAAAAGAAATGAGCTATCAAGCCGTGAAAAAATTGTTAGCCATGAAGGAAAGTTAAATGCATATTGCTAAGTGAAGAAGCCAGTCTGAAAAGGCTACATTCTGTATGATTCCAACTATATGACAGTCTGGAAAAGGCGAAACTATAGAGAAGTAAAAAGATCAGTGGTTGCCAGGGTTTGGGGAGAGGGGAGGAGGGATGAACAGTGGAGCACAGGGGGTTTTTAGGGCAGTGAAACTCTTCTGTAAGATACTTTAATGGTGGATACTTGACATTTTGCATTTGGCAAAACCCACAGAACTGTACAACACACACATTCACACAACCCCTAATGTAAATTATGGACTTTTGAAGTTAATAACAACATATAGCTTCATCGGTAGTAACAATGTATCGCATCAATGTAAGATGTTCATAATGGGGAAAAGGGAGGAGTATATAGGAACTCTGTACTTTCTGTTCAATGTTTCTGTAAATCTAAAACTGCTCTAAGAAATAAAGCCTATTAATTTTTTTTTTTAAGGCTAAGTCTTCATGGAAGGAACTCTCGGCTCAGGAAAGACTTGGAGCCAACGGAATGGGGAGAGGGGCACCCACCCACTAGGCTACTTCCTGTAGCAAAGCAAAGGTCCCAGAGACAGTTGAGCACTGGGGACAGAGACCAGGCAGGAAGGGCTGAGGCCCCTTCCAGGCATGAGCTTCCTCTGCCCCCACCAGCCTCCCTCTTCTTTCTCCCTCTCTCTTTTTTATTATGTTTTCCTAGAGTATTCCCAGCAACAGCCTCGGGTCCTGGGGGTGGAGAGGAGAAGCCCAAGAGATTCCTAGTTGGGAGCCCTGGGCACCGACTGCCTGTCAGGCCCGCATCAACATAGGGACGGGCTTGAGGTGGGGGTGGGGCGCACATGTCTGGTTGGCCGGGTGGGAGTCCCGCTCTGAGGGGACTCGCTCGTCCGGGTCTCGGTCCCGTGGGGGCTGGCCCTGAATCGGGAATATGCAGGAGTGGTTACCAACAAGCCCCTTAGTTCCCGCTCCGCCTCTCAGTACTGTGCAGCAGGACTCTGCAGCCGATAACCAAAAGAGGGTGCTGCTCCGACAGACCTAGGTCGGAGTTCTGACCATGCCACCTACTGTGTGACTTTGGGCAGGTGACCCACCCTCTGCACCTCACCAACTCCTGTACCATACGGAAACTAAGTGTCTGTTTGGAGAGGCGAGAAGGCTGTACGTGGAGATTCACAGAATGAAGTGGGGAGAGACCTCGCTCGCCAGGCCGGCAGTGAGCATCGGGCCAGCGGCAGGGCAGGGTGCCCGGGCGAGCTTGTGCGCTCCGACTCAGGTCCAGGCCCCCCCAGCAGCTGCGCGCTCCCCGGGCTTCAGCCTGGGACCTTCGGCCCTTCCCCGCACTTACAGCTGCCACTCCGCTCCTCACTTCTAAGGCCAGAGCAGCTGTCTCCTCGTCCGGACGCATGCACGCGCTGCCCCAGCAACCGTCACCAGGGAAACTAGCAACGCTCTATGCGTGACGTCACCACGTGTCTACGGAGGCCGAGGGGGCTTCGGGAGCTGGGAAAGTGACGGTAGCGTTTGTGACCCAGGTTGAGGAGGTGTGGGAAGAGGGGCGGTGGGCTGGGTGGAAAAAGGCGTCGTGTGCCTGAGACTTTAAAGTTGGCCCAGTCATCCGATTCTGGAACATATGTTTTAAAAGTTTCGTCGGCCAGACATTTTGGGCAGAGATGCATTCAGTGGTCCTGTAAGGGAGTTGAAAAGTGAATGATCCCACCACGAAATGTGACGCATTCAGAATGTCTTTGAAAAATATGGGGGGAAATTGTGTTGTGATGGTGTGAAAAAAGCAGGAGGCAAAATAGTAATGGCTAAATAAAGTTGTGTTTTTTTAAAACGGAAACAAGACTGTGAGGAATACATAGAAATATTAAAAGAAAATGGTTATATTTGGATGGTGGAATTACAGTGCTGTTTTTATTTTTGCATTTTGGGGGACTTAAAAATATTGAATATGGTTTATTTTCATCGTGGAAAACACGTTTGTTTTTTTAAGACACTGCCCAACTTAAGTCACTACTATATTCAGGCTATATGGAAGTGGGAGGCAAATTTCTATGAAAGGAGATCCAAGGAAGCTTTCCCAATATTTATCCAGGCCTTCATAATTTGAAAATGTCCAAACATCTCATAATTGCTTTTCTTTATTTTTTCCTCATAAGGCATTCACTCCATAGACATTCACGAACATGTGGCACCAGACCACATTTTGCAGTATCAATCAGAATATTGACACTGATACACCTATCTTATTCATGTTTAATTGTTGTTCATGTTTGTGATGTATTTTGTCCTATTCAATTTTACAACATGTGTAGGTTTTCGTACCCACCACCACAGTCAGGACACTGAATACTTCATTCACCACAAGGATCCCTCTCTTGGGCATTTATAACCACATCCACATCCCTCCCCCACATCCCAGTCCCTAAACCCCAGTAACCACTCAACTGTCTTTTCTAAAATGTTGTCATTTCAAGAATTTTATATAAATATACAATATCTAACTTTTGGGAATTGACTTTTTTTTTTTTTACTCAGAGTAATTCCCTGGAAATTCATCCAAATTGTTGCGTATCAATATGTTCCTTTTTATTGCTGGGTAGTTTTCCATGGTTTGGATATGCCAGTTTATTTAATCATTTACCCATTGGAAGACTTCTGGGTTGATTCCAGTTTGGGGATATTATGAATAAAGCTGATATGAACATTTATGTACAGTTTTTTTGTGTGTGAACCCAAGTTCTCATTTATCTGGGATAAACGCCCAAGGGTGCAGTTAGTTGTATGGCAACTGCATGTTTAGTTCTTTTTCTTTTTTTTAAGATTTTATTTATTTGACAGAGACTCAGTGAGAGAAGGAACACAGGCAGGGGGAGTGGGAGAGGGAGAAGCAGGCTTCCCGCCAAGCAGGGAACCCAATGCGGGGCTCGATCCCAGGACCTCGGGGATCATGACCTGAGCCGAAGGCAGATGCTTAACGACTGAGCCACCCAGGAGCCCCTGAATGTTTAGTTCTATGAGAAACAGCCAACCTGTCTTCTAGAGTGGCTGTACTATTTTATATTCCCACTAGCAATTGTGCATTGAGTGATCCAGTTTCTCCACATCCTCGCCGGTATTTGATGTAATTACTATTTTGTCTTAGCCATTCAAATAGGTATGTAGTGACATCTTATTGTGGTTCTAATGTACATGATGGATAATGATACAGAGCATGTTTTTCATGTGCTTTTTTGCTGTCTATCCTCTTTGGTATCCATGTCTTTTGCCCCATATCTGTTGAGTTTTGAGAATTCTTCATATATTCTAAATACCAGTCTTTTGTTGGATATGTGGCTTGTAAATATTTCCTTCCAATCTGTAGCTTGTCTTTTAATTTTCTTCACCTGGGCTTTCACAGAACAAAAGGTTTTGGTTTTGATGAAGTCCATTTTATCAATCTTTTATGGATTATGCTTTTATAAGAACTCCTTGCCTAGCCCTGGATCCCAAAGATTTTCCCTGTGATTTTCTAAAGAGTTTTATAACACAATTTACTTTGACATAATCTTTGTATGTAATGTAAAGTTTAGGTTGAAGTCCCCCCCCTTTGGCTTATGGATGTCCAATTGCTACAACACCATTGTTGAAAGGTATCCTTCCTCCACTCAACTGCTTTTGAGCCTTTGTCAAAAATCAGTTGAGCAAACTCAACACCACCACAAACAACCTAATTTGAAAATAGGGAAGGACTTGAATGGATTCCTCCATAAAAGATATACAGATGGCCAATAAGCACATGGAAAGATGCTCAACATCACTACCCATTAGGGGAATACAAATCAAAACCACAATGAGATACCACTCCATACCCATTAGGATGACTATCGAAAAAATGGAAAATAACAAGTGTTGATCAGGATGTGGAAAAACTGGAACCCTTATGCGTTGTTAGTGGGAATATAAAATGGTGCAGCTGCTATAGAAAAGTTTGGCAGTTCCTCAAGAACTTAAACGTAGAATTAGCATATGATCCAGAAATTTCACTTCTGGGTATAGACCCAAAATATGAAAGCAGGAACTCAAACAGATATTTGTACACCAATGTCCATAGCAGCACTATTCACAATAGCCCAAAAGTGGAAACAACCCAAGTGTCCATCAACAGATGAATGGATAAACAAAATGTGCTCTATCCATTCAGTGGAATATTCAGCCATAAAAAGGGAAGAAATTCTGACATGCTACAATATGGATGAACCTTGAAAACGTTATGCTAGAGTGAAATGAGCCAGACAAAAATGGACAAATATTGTATAATTCCACTTATATTAGGTACCTAGAATAGGCAAATTCATAGAAAGTAGAAGAGAGGTTGCCAGGGGGCAGGGGAAGAGGGAAATTGGATTTATTAAAGGGTATTAAGTTTCTCTTTGGGATCATGACAAAGTTCTGGAGGCAGATGGTGGTAACAGTTGCACAGCATTGTTAAGTGTACTTAGTGCCACTGAACTGTACACTTAATGGTTAAAATGGGGGCACCTGGGTGGCTTAAGCCACAAACCTCAACTTTCTTCTTAAAATAACAATAGTATTCTTATTGCCATGATAATCAAATAGGTCATGAAAGTGTTTTGTAAGCTGTGAAATGCTCTTCAGGTGTATTATTACATATTTTGCTGTTTTGCCTCAAAATGGAAGCAAGCTTTGCTGCAGCTTAAAACTAAGGCTCCATTTGGCTCTCCACATTTCAGACCTCTCCGCTTAATGGACTTCAGCTTTGCAGGTCCAAAATCTAATTTGGTCATCATACCATACATGTCTCTTGGGGCTAGACTTAACAGCAGTCATGGTATTAAGTGATTGACATGTAAACCAGAACACTAAGCCACTAGTTTACCTTAGGGAATTGTGACCCATACCCAGAGCCCCTCCCTTCCCAGAATCAAATGCCCACAAAGCCAAAAGAGTCATCAGAAAGATATTCTGAGCATGGATTCAGAGCAAACGGAGGCAAACTGCCTTGAGATATTTTTAATCCAGTGTTAAGCCTTATAAAAATATTCCTCATCATAATCAGGAACGCTTTCCCCCATAGACAAAAATTGTTCATTTTCTCCAGGTGCAAGATCCTTCTTCCTGGAAGGTGCTGAATGTACCTGTCAGTTCTGCCTCTTCAACTCACCATGGATTTGGACTTTCTTTGCTGGCTATCAGCCTCTCATAGACCCCTCCGAGTACACTCTGTTTTAGCATAACACCATTTTGGCTACAGTCAAGTCTTATTTTATCCATGGTGCTATTTCATCTAAAATGTGTTTGTACATATGGTGATCTCACTCATCATATGTTGATATTAGAAAACTCAAAATGTTTGCCAGATTCAGTAGTCCTTAGTTCCAAGGGACCTGACGTATGAGATCTACCCTGGCTCTCCTCCAAGCCTTCAGCACAATGACATGGTCATATATTTTATATTTTACCCCAAATTTCTCAATTTCACTCTTGGCTCATATCATGGCCTTTCAGAAACACTTGGATGAGTCACCTGGTCTCAGGAATTATTGGTTTCTCCCTGTTGATTAGGTCCCCAGTGCCTTGAAGTACATACTAGTTTTGGATTCTACTACCTTCACAGTAAAGACAATTTATATGAGGGAATTCCTTCATCTTTCTTCTCATAAAGGCCAAAACAAATACTGAAATTTTCATAAATGAAAAAATCTGAGGACAAAGCAGTTATGGTACATTGGAAAAAAACCACTGGACTTGGGACCCGAATGGGCAATGTGTGTGTTTGTGTGATGGAAGGTGGAAATGAAGGTAAGAACAAGTATTTCTTGAACAGGTATTACTTTATGTACCTGCCTTCCCTTCCATCATGCAGTCTCTCCACGTGACCAAGGCTCTAGCTTTGTGCTCTGCCACTTTTCAATTGTATGTACTTGAGTAAATTACAGCTTTCCTTGTTCATCAAGTCAGGGTAATATGTACTTCAGCGTTTTTGTGAGGAACTAGTAGAAAAGAGTATTGAAGCATTTACTATACAGCAAAGCAGTGTACAAAAGTATTGTCATAGTCGAGCACACATTTACAACTCATTACAGGAAGATGTGAGAAAAGGAAAGTTGGCTGTGTCCTACAAGAGTTCAGAGAAGATTTACCGAAAGTAGAATTTGGGGTGGGTCTTCGGGGTGTGCACTTGAATTGTCTGGGAATGGGGAAAGGGAACATTCAGGAAACCATGGAGCATGAGCAAAGGTGTTGGGAGCAGTGGTGAGCACAGGGCTTTGGCACGGCTGGACTAGGTCGCAGAACAGGAGATGAGGGGCCTACATTTAAAGTAGTAGCCACAGGTGGAAAAGGACAAACCTGGGAGACTCTGTTTAGGAAAACCTGGCAGGATTTGGTGAGTGGTTTAACAGTGATAACAACACAGGAGAAAAGAAAGACATTTCTAAGAGTTTGAGCCCAGAGCATGACAGAGGGAGATGGAGGGTGTCAGTGACAGAGATGTGTGAGCCAGGAAGGCGCACCAGTGGGAAGACAGCAAGTATAGTTATGTGTGGGCTGAATTTAGGTCTAGGCATGAAAGGCAGGATGGCATTTCCTCCTCACGTTGTAAAATTTTAGTCCGTGACACTTCAGTTACACTGGAGACAGGAAAAAAAACAAACACCATTATAAGAAGCTCAGAATACTACAGAGAGGACCTGTTACCGGGTTCCTCTGAGGCAACCAAGTGGACACTGACTCCAACCTAGAATCATTTATCACTGCTGAATTTGGAAAAAATTTTCTAACGTTTACCTTGCTAAAAGCTAATTCTTTATTTCAAACAGGATCAGGTATATAAATAATAATTGGCAGTTCTATCATTTGACACAGGAGAACTTTAAAATACCTTATATTCATTCAGCTTTGTTCTGGCCTAGTAAGTATGTTACAACGGGCTGTAGATTTACATAGAGATAGAGCCTAAATTACAAGTTCCTGAAAACTCTCCAAGTAGCATTTCCTCAACTGTGAGGCAAGAGGCTTGCCCGGGCTGATCCTCTACTCTAAAATCCTGACGGAGAAGCAGTGTACTTTGAAGATTTCAGTTCCAACTCTTACCACCAGATGTCACTGTTGTTCATCAGAAATAGGGAACCTCCACTGACAGACTCATGAATGCAAAAAACCAAAACCTACTTATTCCAATTAAACAAATATTTATTGAATATTTATATGAGCCAGGCACTAGTTCCAGGTGCTTTGGATGAAAAAGATCATCATGGCCTCAAAGATACTAGAGGAGACATGGAAGCAATCACACACCAATGCCCCAATAACATATAACATTAAGCCAAGGAATCAAACTCTCAGTGAAAATCAACATACCATCTCTTTAAGGTACAACATCGCTTCCTGAGGGATACTTTCTCTGACTCCAACCCTGGGTTAAGTCCCCCTGCTGGATGTTACTGCTGCTACCTATACCTAGCATTCAACATGCTTTTTATAAGCACTTAATGACGGCCTTCCCTGCTGGACTGTCAGTTGTGAGGACAGGGCCCTCGCACTGCACTGCTGCTTTCCCAAGCTTACCATAGTACCGACAGAAGTAGTGGTCATTTGCTGAGTTTACTTATGCATCAGGTGCCATGACAGGCTCCTTACAGTCACCACTACATTTTATCTTCCCAATGAACCCTCAGCCACTGATACTGTGCCTATCTTACAGATGAGGAAGCCATGGCTACTTGACTAGTAGGTGGTATAACTGTGAACCCAGTACTGACTTAATAACATGTAATATCACATCCACCTGAGCCACTTTTAAGAATTTCCATTATCTGATGCCAAGCTGTTCATCCAACTAATTTACCACTCTCTTCCTTGAATGAGCAACCCCACCCTTATGAACATAATGCTCAGTACCCTTTCAACACTTCACTTTTGTTTGGCCTATCCTCTGGCATTGGTCTAGATCAACTTCTCTCAAATGAGTAATTTAGTTTAACAAATCAATAATGTACTCATCTATTAGAAACATTTTCTGAAAACTTTTCCCCAAATTTGTTCTACAGAAGGCTTATCCTTCATGAAACAATTGTTGGGACTGCCTACCAGGATCTCCTATTAGGTCTATTGGAACCTGAGAAAATAGTTCCTGTAATAGCTTTATTTTTAAAGCACTTTTCAGACTCATATAATGACCTATAAGCTATATAGGACTGTAGAAATTACCCAGTTCAACTTCTCATTTTATAGCCAAGATTGAGAAAACTCGGATGTGATCCAAGTTACAGAGTCAGTGGTGAGTCAAGACCATGCTGTAACCTCCTAACTTTATTAATATATGATAACTGCTGCCACTCCAGTATTAATTTCACAAAGGCCAACATTTCTAATACCTGTTGGCATCTACGACTTGACTGCCCAGGTTCCAGTCCCAAATCTACACCCCTCTCTAGCTATGTGATCCTGGGTTAGATATTTACATTGTTCATGCCTCAGCCTCCTCCTCTGTTAAATAAGGATCATAGTTCCTACCTCTTAGGGTTGTTAGGAAATCTAAATGACATTATACATGAAAAGCACTTAGAATAGTGTGTGACACATAGTATATACTCAATAGATACTATTATTCCTATTTGATAAATATTCTTTAACCATAGTTCCTACCAAAGGTACAAAGCATTCTCTTCTTGGAACTTAATCCTTGTGTTACTTTGAGGAATGATTGATTTTTTCCAAACCGAAATAAATACAAGGCAATTAATGTGTTCACTGATTTTACTAACACTACATTTACCATGTTATCACCATGGAATGTAAATTCAGGTTAGACAAGAAAATTTCACAAGTGTAATAAAGCATTCTGGAGTATACCAAAGTTTGTGTATAATGTCTGACCAAACCACCTTGCTGATAAATCATTAATCACTTCAATTATAGGTAATTTGTTAACATTTATGGTTCTTACAGAGAAAATAAACTTCATACATTTAAAAAGTGTTTTTCATCTAACCTTTGCATTAGTACTTAAAGTACACATTTCTATTTTAAGATAACATTTAAAAGTTATTCTAATACAACAGCAGCATAAATATAACTCTGCAATTACAAAAAAAAGCTAAACTGGGATCCACAGTTAAGTTATTCTCATGTTTACAAGTATGATTCTGAAATAAATACTACTTTTAAGCAGCTGTTATCGGCTTTTTTGGGTTTAGTTTAAATACACGTATTTTCGGTTGTGGGGAAGCTTATTGTATTATATTCCATGCACTGTTCTCAAAGGGTTAAGAGCCAACCAGCCCTAAAAACTGAAGTACTCAATCAGTCTGCAAAACAGGCAGAAAAAAATTAAATGGGATTCCTACATAATATCAAAAGCATGTGATATTCTGCAGCAACTGGGAGTACTCAGGATTGGCAAATTGTCCTCTTTTTAACTGATTTTATCAGAAGAGTTTAAGAAGGAGCATATTTTACCACTATCAAGTACATTTAAAAGTGACATGTTTCTTTTGTTCTAATTTGACTCTGCTGAATGACCTAGCTAGTTAACTGGTCACTAGTAATTTGGTTACCAGGCAAATTAAGCCTGCAAGAAAGGAAGCCAATATTTAAATTACTGTGTTATTGTGTGACCCATTCAAATGATTTATTTTCAACATAAACATATAAATTCAGTATGAGATGCCTAGCTGAAGCAAGCACCACCAACAAAACCAAGACAGCTTCTCTTCTTCTAAGGTTTAGGCTTTGCCCAGAATTCCTTATACATGGAATAGCCCATACCTAAAGAAAGAAAATGTATTAGTTAAGCACTTAATATTTTCCACGATATTAAGAAAATTGAAAACAGCTCATAAAATAGCTAAATGTAGCACCCTCCTAGCATGCAATATTTACAAGAGGAACAAGACCCTAGGCCGTTTATACTCTTGCCTTCTTAAACTATTTAAATTTCTGAAATTCTTTTTATATAGGTTCCCAAGCAGCTCAAGGCTAGTATGACTAGTTCAGACTACTGAAATATTTGCTTTAAAGATCAATATTTATCTTACAACTTTAAAAGGAGTCACTCTTGCTATGTAACAGTAAGTAAAGTCAACGAATTATAAAGCCAATAAAAGAGTGTAATACCTACATTAAAAAAATCTTTTCCAGGGCACCTGGGTGGCTCAGTCGGTTAAGCATCCGACTCTTAATTTCGGCTCAGGTCATGATCTCAGGATCCTGAGATCAAGCCCTGTGTTGGGCTCTGCGCTGAGCATGGAGGCTGCTTAAGATTCTCTCTCTCTCCCTCAGCCTGTCCCACCCCTCTCAGGCTCTCTCTAAAAAAAAAACAACAACACACTTTTCCACTTTCAAAAATTCAATAAAATAGTAGTCCTATGTCTCTCCCAGATAATGGACCTTACTACCAACCCTATTTACATATCTAGACTCCAGTGAAATTATAAACTCTGTGATGGACAGAATTGCTTTTTCTTTAAAACACTGGTAAGATGTATCACAGTAAAACTTTGTCACTACTATTAATCCAATTTTTATGTGAAAATAGATATAAGTAACATTTCAAACTACTTCAAAGTCAGCAAAAAGTATCTACCTTGATTTATAAAGTCTATTAATGGGAATTACAAACTTGAAAATTTCCTCTAAGAACCTACCAAGAGTCATTGCTCCCACAACAAAGCCTTGGGCTGCCACACGCATGTGGATCAGGTGAACAGACATTTTAGTATTTCCCCTGCTCTTCAATTTATATAATCCATATGCAACGATTGCTGCAAACCCCGCCATTCCTGTAAAACAAATAGTCACAAGTATGTCATATGCATGGGGTCAGGGAACCAAGATGACTTTACTATCAATCAGTGTACTTTCTACTATTTTTACAAAGATGTTTGAGACCATTAATTAACTAACATAAATTGAATTTTTAATTTCCCCCCTCAAAACCCAAAATCCATAATCGGTAGCAAACAGTAGCAGATTCAGAAAGTGAAGATCATCTTCAAAATGTGGGCTGTGGAGCCTATAGGTGCTTTAAGAGTGCCAAGGGAACTCTTCCTCTCAGTCCTACTTCCTTCCCTGAAGGGAATCAGGTAACATAGCAGAGACTGTAATAAACCATAACTGTGAGTGTAAGCTTTTTTTTTTTTTTTTGAGTCTTGTGAGTCCTTCTAGCAAATCACCAAGACTGGGGGTGATCGTGGGGTCCCCCAACACATTCACTGAAATAAGAATCAATAAACAAAGGCTGAAGGCACACAGAATTTTTATAGAGTTATATCAAGCCAATATTACATATTTCAACATATGAACAAAATATATGAAAACAAAGGCTTTCAGAATGTGCTTGATGGATGAGTTGACCACACTTCTACTGAGTTAAAGCTTACAATAGACTGATTATTAGAACATCAACGTCAAACTTACCAATGGGAACAAACGGTGCTTCTCTAGCTTTTCGGATAAGTTTAGATCCTTGATCTTCATCATATGAAGAAAGAGAAACATCTGTGCCGGTTGACATAATGGCTGAAGAATCCTCCTGAAAGAGAATTTCCAGGAGGTTCTATAATTAAAAGCATCTACTACACTGAATAGCTGGATGTACTTAAAATACTCCTAGTTTCCACATAAATACGTGGTATGTTATCCATGAAGTTTAAAAAGTATTTTTTAGAAACTGTATTTTTAACCCATAGCTACTTTTAGGAAGAGTTGTATTTATTCCCCCTCTATTGTTCTGATGTTTATCCCATACAACCGATCCCTTTTTATTTTTATTTATTTATTTATGTTTAAATAGGCTCCACACTCAGCATGGAGCCCCACATGTGGCTTGAACTCACAATCCTGAGATCAAGAGTCGGAAGCTTAACCGACTGAGCTACTGGGGCACCCCAATCAATTCCTTTTTAGCACCACATCGCTGATAACAGTGAAAGTTTTTTTTTTTAATTGAAATAACTTTTGTCAATTAAAATAGTAGCCATTCATTTTCTGGCTATTTGTACACTTAGTCAATTTAACTTAATGACTTCACTCAAACCAAACCAATACTCCTTACTGCCTCTTCAAAACATGTTGAATATCCTACTAAGCACTTTTAAGTGTAGTTTTTATTGGTTACAACTGAGACTGACTTACTGACTCCAACATGCTACATGGCTTCAGTTCTCACCTTTGAAGAGTTTCCCCTGTTACACTAACGGTGGCCATTTTGGGGAAAAGATTACAGCTGTTCTGAATAACCAAAATTTCTACTTAGCTCATTATTTACTTCTTTATAAGAATAAGCTTTTACTGGGGCGCCTGGGTGGCTCAGTCAGTTAAATGGCTGCCTTCGGCTCAGGTCATGATCTCAGGGTCCTGGGATTGAGCCCCACCATTGGGCTCTCCGCTCAGTCCGCCTCTCCCTCTCCTTCTGTCATCTCTCTCGCTCAATAAATAAAATCTTAAAAAAAAAAGACAAAGCTTTTATTTTAAATACTATTGCTAGAAATGCCTCTTTTTAAGCATAATTGACATTCAGCTGAACATAATACAGCCTTTTAGTTTTATTTTTACTTAGGGTTACCATTTTTAACACCACTGAAACAATAAAACTGAACAACCCTCAGGGTCTTAATGAATATCTCCTAAGCTTCAGCTTTACTTTCCCTTACAGAACTTAACATTCCCTGGACCTCCCTCTTAAAATTCTCTACCTCCATTCTCCCTTTTTCGGTCACCTCTCTTTACACAGGAAGCTATTTAATAGGTGTTTCATCATAATGAGAAAATAAATTCAGCTTCACCTTAGTCAAAATAAATATGTATATACTTCCTTCTTCACTAGCTGATTTAAACTGCCCATAAACATGATCCATAGAGAAAAGAAGGGAGTCAAACATAGTATGTTAAGTGTACAAGTCTGATTAGTGTCAGCTACAATAACTTCAAAAGTCAATTGCCTATCCCACTACCTATATAACATCTTACCTCCACCTCTGGGTTTTTCATGTGCATCATGCATCATACTCCCTTCAATAATAATTCTCATTCAACACTTTGCTATTCCAGGAGTGTTAGGAGTAGGTAACACCCTAAAGAAAATCCAACTCTAGAAGGAGGTGTAGTGCTTGGTTTGAAAAGTGAAATCATCCTTCTGAGCCCCCATTCCCATTGGGAAGAATCCAATTCTGTTATCTGACAAAGAAAACCTTAATCCAGAGGAGTTGTGCAGCATCACACAGCTAAATAAGAGGAAACTCAGATTCGAATTAGTCTTTCTCTTTTTTTGTACTCCATTACCTGCTAACTGAATAAACCCCTACTTACTGAGCTTTTATTATATACAAGGTTCAACAAGCTCTAGGTTCAGGACGCTCAGTATATATGTGAAGAGTTAAAACAAACACTAAAATAATTAACGGTTAAAAATCAGATTTTTTTTTTTTTAAAGGGACAGGATAGAGTATGATTACTTCCAAGAGCATAACAGAGAATGAGAACTGAATTTAGAGTGTGGTTATCTTTTAGCTGAAGTAGGTTTGGGAAATATTTGAGACTGGCCTTCAAGAAACTACATAAATGGACTAGATGGAGCTATTAAACATTATATTTTAGGCAAGTATATGCTTATTTGTTGCTTTCAAAAGTAACCTTAAGCTTCTCAAAGTCATGAGGGTTTATCACAGATCCTCCTTCCACCTTTCTGGCCACGAACCCCATAATCTAATCACATTAAATTTCTTAAAGATGTTCTCTGTACTTCAGTGCCTTTGTACAAGCTGATTTCTCTGCCTAACACTTTTCCTCCCTTTTCATCTCCTTCAGATACTTTTTCCTAGCTAACTCCTCTCATTTTTCAGGTTCTTAATTAACTTTCATTGGAAGTCTCCTTTGGCTAAGTATGATCATTGCTTTGATTATGCAGTCCTATAGGACCCCATGCTTTCTCTAAAATACTTCTTATAAATGCCTCTTCAATTGTCTCTCTTGCTAGAATCCTTGAAGTTAGCAGGCTATAGATGTCCTGATTGTATCTATATTTCCACTGCCTGGCATGATGCTTTGCATGCAGTAAGCATAGCACAAAATATTTGTTGAATAAATTTAAAAAGAATCTATTTCAACAATTACAATTATTAATTTAGGAAAATTTGGTGAAAACAATAACAAGTAAACACATTTGTAGAGTTTAACTGGTCAGTAAGAAAAATGCCAAACTGTATGTACCTAAGTGCTTAATTTTTATATTCTATTTATGAAAGAAGAAATGATAACTTGAGTAGGTCTTGGTTCCTTGCAACCACAAGAGACAAAACTATTATATAACACAATCCACTTTCTAAAACGAGCACCTTCTTTTGCAGATATATGCATGTTTTCTTCCTTTGCCTTAATTATTCCTAAACTAAGAAGTCATTTGGGAATTATCTTTAAAAACAAGAAAGTCAGTGGTCTCTCCTCTAATCTCTCACCTCTGGATCAGTGTAAATTGTTTAACTGGTCAACGGAGTTTTCTCTCCCTCCTTCAGGAAGGAAGGGAATGGCACTCTCTCTCCTGTACATAAAAGAATCTCCATTCCTCACCTATGATAGAGACTCTGAAGTTTGTATGGGTAGGACATTTGATCTCGTTTTCAGAAAGTAATCCTTAGGGTAAGAATAAGGGTGTGGGGGAAACCATGTGGTCATTATTTGCTTTCATTGACTAATGATAACCTGTTTCTGATCGAGAACACCTTGTGGCACATTTAAAGATAAAATTAATAAAGAGGAATATAAAAAGTCCAACACATCACAGATTTATTATACTATACTTCAAATTATATTTTTATACCTAGTATATTATATATTCATAACACTCCTTGTGTATAAAATTTTGGTAATTCTCTACCATCTGAAAGTTTCCCAAGTATTCATGATTTACACCCACACAACTTGAAAATGGCTAACTTTTAATGTATCAGGATCAATAACTATGAATCATATAATTTGAGAATAACAATCCAGACAATCCATGCCAGTAGCCTAATTTTACAGATGGAAAAAGGTTATATGAATTGTTCAACATCAAGAATGTATCTCTGGCAGGGGAGGATTAGAACCCAGATCTCCTGATACAGTCCAGAGTTCTTCTGATTGACAACATATTGCCAAGGCATCAATCTTTTGCTGGTAATATATTTAATCTGAAAAATATTAAAATCCATTCCTTAACAGAAGCCTGCCTTTCTTTCTTTGAATTGTAAAAAATATGCAAGTCATGCCTAAAATTAAATGGAACTTTCTTCCCTCATGACTTAACTCATCCACCAATTTCCACTGTGCTTTGAACAGATCTTTTTTACTAGCAGGACTTCTAGATTTCCCTTTAATTTTCTCATCTGCCCATAGCAATTGACCCAGATCTCTGTCAAAAAGTTGAACAGGTAGAAAAAGAGGCACCGATGACCAGATGATATTCAAAGCCAATCTGAAAACACTAATTATTCTCTAAACTTAGTAAGATACTACTGCAGACCTTTCCAAATGCATGGGAACCTAGAAAAGATGTCAGGGAAGATGAGCTGCCCAGCATGAGGTGATGTAACAGACTGAAGGATCTTCACAGCCTGTCATTTTGGTCACAGAACTACTAATAACAAGGACTTCAAATTTTGATTTTCCATCAGTCCCCTGTCAGCTTGTTTAAAATGGCTGCAAAGGCCCCACCCTGGAGATTCTGATTCAGAGGGTCTGGGGCAGGGCCCAAGGAATCTGTATTTTAAGAAGCCCCCTTTGACTGATTCTGGGGTACAAGGAACTAAGAGATGCCCTGGTATCCAGGACTCAAACTTGTGTGTCACGCTGGGGCCTGGTGCCTCTTCAATCTGTCTGAACTTTTCCACCCAAACCGGTCAAACTCGAAAGTGCTGGGTACTTCTGGAAGCATAAATCCTGTGGTGGGGATTACTCGACAGAAGGAACTAGCTGCTGCCCACACCCGTATGTAAAAGAGAAAGGCGAGGAACACTGACGAATCATTTCAGCTGCTCCCAATTCTAAACCCGCGCTCTGTTTTCTAATTCCTAACTGGCGGGTTTAGCTTTCTTGGGAGAAATTTAAATTCCGTCACAGATGCTTTAAAGAGGGGCCTGGGGCCTTCTTACCCTCCCAGGGTAGGAGGAAACCCGGGGTCGTGGAGAAGAGTAAGGTCGTATGGTTTTACGCCCTCAACCTTTCCAACAGCCCCCCCCACCCCCACCCCGTGACCTTGCCGGGAGTCCAGGGCCGGAGCGCTTGCCCTCCCAACCCTTCCCTCCTCACCCACCGCGCGGGCCCGCTCTCCGGCAGGCTCCCTGCTCCGGGTACTATCCGCGCTACCGGCTCCCTGAGGTCGGCCCCAGCCCCCTCCAAGGCTCTCTCATTACTGCCCCCTCCGCGAGTCTTCCCTCTCGGCCACGATTTACTCCACAAGCTTCTACTTCATCCCCTCACCCGAAAGGCCATCAGACCCCCCAACCTTCCCTGAGCCACGAGGTCGGGCCCGAAACCCGCCAATTCCACCTCGCCCCCTTCAACCCGGGCATCTCCCCCCTCCTCCCAGCCCCGCGGACCCCACCACTCCCGCGGCGCTCTCGGCCCAGCCAAGCGCCGCCCGGCTTCTTCCCGCCCCACGGTCGGGTGTCCTCCGCTCCCAGGACTCCCTCAATCTTCACTTACCTACAATGACAGGACTTCGGCTCCAACTGCTTTCTGGCTCTCTCCCACGCTAGCCATCCAGCCGGCTTCTCCTCGTCCCGCCCACACCTGGCCCCAGCCAATCAGAAGCCAGCGGCCCGCAGGCGAGGGTCCCGGTGGGTGCGTGCGTGTGCGCGATGGGTAAGGCGGGTCCCGGATTGGCTGGGGCGACGAGTGTGGGCGGTGGCTCCGCGTCCCCGGCTCTCTCGTAAGGATCTCGTCATGGGTGAGAGTTCACGGGCAGGGCTTCGCGCGAGCGCCTCTCAGCGCCCCTGGCCTGTGCCGGGCGGGACCTCGGACTTCTCTCGCCCTTTTCCCCTAGTGCAGTGGCGGCGAGCACCGCGAACGTTGCGTGCTCCGTGCGCGGGTGGGGCGGGGCAGGGCATGAGGGGTTTCGGCCGCAGCCAGTCCTTGGGAGACTTGAGGGAGGACGTTCCTGCCTGCTGGGGCGCCGGCGGCGGTGGGGCGACAGAGCCCTCGTTCCGTTCCGTTCCCCTGGTGGTTATGCGCTGCCACGAACGTGCGCTGTCGGGCCTCTCGCGGAGCCTTTCTTGGAGTTTACATTGTGATGAGGGGCAGCCATTGGTCGCAAGCATGGGTTCGCTGGAGACCTCAACCAGAATGGGGGAGGTTTCTCTGAGGAAAGAAGTGTCAGCGGCCCCTGGTGACAGTGAACTTCCGGAGACAGAGGCCCCTGGCTTGTTGGTATGACAGATTAGCAGTCAGTATGGCGAATTGATGCAAAGCATTAACGACAGTGCCATAGGGAATATGTCTGCGACTAAATTAGAATCCCTTAGTAGAACCGCGAATTGAGGCATATTGCCAATGCTGTATCACACAGGTAGGCACTAAGTGCCACGGGCTCCGGATTTTGAAAATCTTTTGTCTCATAATTAAGACACATGTAGAAAACATTCATGCTCTGGATGATGAATTAAAAACCCCATACCTTGATTATATGGTATGCTTTCAGCTACTTGAAGGCACATACTTTGTCTGGTTCATGCCCATCTCTCCCAGAACATCGTCTTTGAGCTCAGTAGGAGCCCGGTGATGTTAAATGAAGAAAAGACATAACCGATGCAGTAATTGGAGGGCTGCAAAAATAAGTAGGGATGATCAGGACTTATTTAGGATAATTAGAATGACAAAAGAGCCTAAGAGACTTGAATATGAAAGCAAGTCATTATTAAGTCCTGTGATTCTGGAAATACAAAGGCTAACAGCAGTAGTGAGCGTGTTCATTCCTGAAGGGGATTTCTATAAATCAAAATAATGTTAGCTAATTTGCTCATTTCCAGAGAATGAGATTTGGGATGAGGGAAACTTGGGTGTTAGCCCCAGGCTGAACACGTAGTAGTCGTGACCGAGGGTTTTACTTCTCAAAACTTCACTTTCTTCGTTTGTAAAACGGAGAAAACAGTGGTGCTGGTTAATGAGGAAATACACGTAGTGTTAGCACAGTGTCTGGCCTGAAAAGTGCTTTAGAAGTGCTATTGCTTTAAAAAATTACTGTGCTGTGAATTGTATGGAAAGAGGCAGACCCTGCCCTATTTGTGTGAGAAATTCTTTCTTTCTGATTGGTATATAGAAACCAAAATCTTGGTAAATGATAATGATAAATATCTGAAACAATCAGATAATGTAGAAGATTTTTTTATTTTTTTTAGATTTTATTTATTTATCTGACAGAGAGCATACAAGCAGGGGAAGGGAGAGGGAGAAGCAGGCTCTCCACTGAGCAGGGAGCCTGACATGGGGCTCGATCCCAGGACCCTGGGATCATGACCTGAGCTGAAGGCGGGCGCTTAACCGACAGCCACCCAGGTGCTCCTATAGAAGATTTTTTTAATAGAAATTATTCTGCTGCACTTTATTCCATATTGTGTTACAAGAAAAGGACAGTGACAATTGACAAACCATGACATCTTTCATAATGTAGACATAATTGGTAAGAAATGTGCATCATGTATATTTCATTCTCCTTACTCTGTCAGAAGTATAATTGATGCAGAAGACATTAAAAAATTATTTGGTTTCTCATGTATTAAACTAAGCCACTTGTAGTTTATGGAAGGGAAGACAGCACAAGAAGTATCTGCCTATTTTGTTAATTTCTCCTCTTTAGAGAGCCTTTGTAACTTCTCATGTTCCAAGTAGCAGTCTACACATGATCATATCTATATAAGAGAAATGGGATTCTAAACTCAGATGTCTTTTTAGGCTGAGGCCCAGCTTAAAGGTACATTACCTTGTACCTTTGTCCTTGTATCCTTCTTAAAACTACTTTGTGATCTTTGTGGAATTTTGTCTAAACCAAATGTTAAACCTTTTGAGCAAATTGGTAATATCCGCAGATATTTTTAAAACCAGAGTTAAAAGTCCCCTTCAGCAATCACTGGACATGTATATCGTGTTGGGTACTATACTGGATTCGGAAGTTAAAGACTTAGTCCCTTCTCTGAGATGATTTATAATCTTTTTAGGTAGAAGGAACAGGTAGAGAAAAACATCAAAGACAGTTTATGGTAAGTGCTTTGAATGCAGCTTCAGGTAGATATCCTAGTGAGTGTGCAGTTTCAGAGAAGGCTTCTTGGGACTGGGGCTTGGGTGAGTGAACTTTGAAGAATGATTATTAGCATGTAAATAAGTTGGGAGACTATTCCAGAAAGAGGAAACAGTGGGCAGAGGAATAGCAGTAGACTATAGGATTGTAACTCTAGCATGGACAATGAGTGGGGAGAAGGAAAAAAAATTGTGACTAAAGCAGAGTCAGAATAATGGGAAGTAGGTTTAAGCTACATGGGAGAGGACTTTAAACGCTAAATAACTTGCACAGTATTCTATTAGGTGGCCCCTGAAGGTTTTGGAGCAGGATATTGACAGGAATACATTTGAGGTAATTTGTAGTGAAGTAGAATGGATTAGAAAGGGAATATCAGTATTACTCAGCCAGAAAATTAAAAACTATTCAGTATATAGTTCATTATATTATTTGTACTGAGCCCACATCCTTTGTCTCAGCGATATGGAAGGAAGGCTGCTACATGCAGGGGCATCATCCCTCTATCCTCCTGGACAAGGACCACTGCTTTGAAGCAGCAATAATCCTTACAAAGCAATTCCCAGGGAGAACTGTCAAGGCCCAGACCGTCATAAAATGCCATGTTAGAGGACTGCCCTGCTGGGCTACTCATAATATTCTACAGTTTTGTACCTTTACACTTCGCAAAGTCATGGAATAGTACTTAAGCTGTTTGTTTTAAATAAAAACTTACCAGGCACATTAATAGCATGTTTTAAAGTTTTATTTATTTATTTTTTAAGATTTTATTTATTTATTTTGACAGAGAGAGAGAGCACAAGCAGGGGGAACAGCGGAGGCAGAGGGAGAAGCAGACTCCCTGGTGAGCCGGGAGCCTAAAGACCCTGGAATCCTGACCGGATCTGAAAGCAGACACTTAACCGACTTAGCCACCCAAGTGCCCCTAAAGTTTTATTTAAAACTAGCCCACAAGGTAGGAGTTAACAAACAAAAGAATCTCCTGTGGCAAACAAACAAAAAAAGAATCTCCTGTGGCAAAAAGTGATTGGGTCCCTCCCTGGACTGCTTATGCAAGTCTTTCAAGAGTTTTGTAAGAAATGCTTTTTTTTTTTTCCCCCAGAAGGAGCAGCTGCTGATCATATCAGACCACCACGTTCTGCTCGGGTATGACGGTTTCTCTTGTTCACAACTTACACATTTCAGAACATTAAGTCTGAGGTTCCTAGTCCATCGCTCTGCCCTTTAGGAAGTATAGTTCTAAAATGCAATCTCAGAACTCTCCAGAGGGAGGAAAGTCACAACCACCTTTTAAATTTTATGAGAGGCAGTATAATAGTGTTTAAGACCATAGACTCTCGAGCTTGCTTTGCTGGTTACAAGCTATGTGATACTGAGCAAGTTACTTAATCATTTTGTGCCTCAGTTTCTTCATTTGTACAATAATAGGACCTACATAATAGGACTCTTGGGAGGCTCAAATGATATGTAAAACTGCAACATTGCCTGGCATATATAATAAGTGCTATATATGTTAATTATTATGACATTTCTGGTTTCGTTTTTGTGTGTGAATTCCTGTCAGTTCAGCTTAGCTAAGCTGTAAACACAACTAATAGTTTCACTTGTGTGTATGTGTTTGCATGGTTTCCATTTTTAAAAGTCTTTTGGTTACAGAGGATTTGCATAAAAATCATAAATATAAGATGCACACAACCAGACTTTAGGAGAGCAGAAGCAAGGAACTATCAGGCACCTTTCATCTCTTCAGTTGACACTGTCTCCTACTTTTATATCCTTGGTTTCATTCAACCATGTAAAATATTTTTCCTATTAGTAATCAATATGGCAGTAGGATTTGTGTGTTTAGACAGTGATATTTTCTGTAGTGAACAAACATATTATACTTTAAACATTTTAGTCTTGAATTGATTTTTCCATTAACGCACTTAGTATTATTTGTTATTGTTGTTTCAGGCAGGAACATTCTTCTTAACAAGTACCAAGGGGAAAAAATGTGGTGGAGTGGAAGGGGGACTGGCCTGTTCCCCCAGGATTGCTACATGCATGTAGTCAAAAGACATGGATTTGAATGCTTATTAACATTATGACGTTAAACAAATTACTGAGCCTGTTGGAACCTCAACTTTTCATCAACAAAATGGAGATATTAATAGGTACCTTACAGGGTTACACTGTGTGATCTCAATAACCCTATATAAGATACCAAGAACAGTGCATGGAACATAATGGACACTCATGAGTTCCCCTCTCTAAACTAGCCCCCTTCCTCTTGCTGCCATATTCCTAAGCAGTAACCAGCAAAGCATCTTAAATTACTTTTCTTCTCTAGACCTCTAAGTTTCCTGAACCATGCTACTAAGTCATCCTTTTAGGTATCTTTGCTCAGCCTCATCTACTAACCATTTCCACAGAGAGCACTGGGAACTTCTCTCACCTGTCCCTTTGCCCCCCTTCCCGGCCCCCCCGGACTTACCTGCATCCACCTCAGTCATTTCTCCTGG